TTGTGTACAAATAATCATCGTGGAAACCGGAGCCGGTTCCTCATTGTCGGAAAAATTCTTAAAGACCACTCAATCGCACGATGTTTACAGGCCCTTTGACTTTATAAATGAAGTGAGACTGAGATAAATACAGGGAAACTTGAACTATATTTATTTTGAAAATATCAACACCATGGTGCACCTTGGATTTGTTGGTCATTAATTTCAAAACCAATTTTTTACGCGATTTGTTCTTCATTACATTCCGAATATAAGGAAAGTAGATCATGACTACCTTTCACTATGGGACACGTTTAATTCCTCCGAGAGCACCCAAAAGTTCGGGCTATCTAAGTTAGATTGACACTTATGGATACGGTAGACCGTGGCGGGTGTCCTTCGCAAAAGAAACAAATGACACGCTATTTGAAGTATAACTACTATAAACTATATATCAGTGGAAAGGTTATGAAATGTGCTATTCGGCAAAATTATGTCGTTTTAGCTTGATCTAATCGAAATCCGAATGAGGCGTGACAATTCGAAATGGACGATGTTTCTTTGGGGGAATGAATCGCATATCGAATCTGACCGCACAAATGACCTTCTGCACAATTTCAATCCTGAGGGGTTGGTCTTCATACCGTGTGGGGATTTTTTCAATATTCTTATCGGCTGCTTTGCTCTTAGTCTGTCAAGTTTGCTAATCAAAATTTTACCGATACGCAGTACGTCAGAGGCCATTGCGGGAGATCCATTTTGAAAAACGGAATCCCCCACACGGTTGGTATCTTGGGAGTCTTCGGAGCAAATTTCGAGGCAATCCGTAATGTTTACATACCCTATTGATTCGTGCAAAGAAGACATATTCGCGTAAAAACGAAGAAGGCTTTTTTCGCTTTCAAAGTCTTCCCAACAATTTGCACCTTTGGGTGACCACATATCAAATTATGGCAACATTCTGAAAAACACAAAATGACGACCGCAGAAGCGTCCGGAAGGGTCTCTCAGCAAGAACATATTGTGCAGGTAGCTATTTATCAGTTACTGCGACAGACCTTCAGTTCAATTCTACTGAACAGCAATTTTCAATCCAACTTTATTTTTCAACTCAAAAGCGGCTTTAGCAGGCCGTGGCAAAACTTGATGGTTGTTGATCGAGTGCGAGTAGTAAAGATTGCTTAAACCACAAGCTTTATCCGTTTCACTGAGATTCTTTCGCCATTCCGTGTCGAATTTCTCTTTTTTACTTTCACCAATAGACCCTTCCCCTTTTTATCTTTCTCCATTCGCACTCTCGAGAAAGACCGACCGTTTAGAGAGCTATATTATGAGAGAGAGCTATAGTGGAAGATTGCTAATTTCAAGAAACGTTGGAGGAAACTGTGAGCTTGGTTCGATGGTGAGCTGAGTTTATCGAGCATAAGTACTGTATTGCCTTTAAGAGTCGCTCCTTATTAAGAATATCACTCTTTGCTTAATAAAGTGGTTGATTTTGTTGGATTGTAGTGTTTTTCTGTCGGTAAGATTATACCGTAACGATAAAATCTGGGAAAATTTAATCTAATAGTAAAGGTCCGTGATGCACGTTCTGCAGTACCCTAACAGGGTTGTGCGGATATTATTTTTTTATTTTGTTTAGTGATTAGTGCACATCTTCTAAGATGTAATTGAAATTACAAGGAAAGTGCAATGAGCTCATTTGTGGCTTGGCCTTTATTATGCTCAAAGCACCTGCTTTACTTCACTGAAGATTGAAATGAAGGATATTAGTGTGCCTTATTAGTTTAAGTCTAATTCAGTCAGGTAGTTCTAAATTCCGGCCTATTGTAACTTTGACATTAATTCCTTGAAGAAGTTTTTTTTCGGTTTATCTGCTGACTTGAACTCTCTAGTGTCATAATGCAATCGTTCCCATGATACTTTGAGTGAGAGAAGTTCCACTGTTTATATAAAATTATGTTTCTTCTTTTGATGCTTGTATCTTCTTTATAGATTGTATACTTGTACAATTTCATCGGTGTCTTAAAATTACAATTTGTAGGGTTAGCCGCTATCGACGAGTATCCTGGCTTCAGTTTAAGGGAAGCTTTGATGATAACTCTTAGCAATTAAATATAAAAGAAACTTACACAGGTAACCCGTCACTTCAGCTACGTCTCAACACACCTTTTTCTTGGTGAACTCAGATTCTATACGGTATTAGCTAGGATAACATCTTTGGTGCAAAGTATGCGTAAATGTGAGATTATTTAACCTTAGTCATTCATTTGCTAGTTTTTTAAATGTTCATTATCGAACATTGTAAAGTCCATCCGTAGGGGGCGAACTTGATTGCAATCCGTATGTTTCGTCGGTCAAGTGAATGTCATATTTGTCGTTGTTTATTTATTTTTTAAAGTTATTTTATTCTATTTGAATAGATTTGAACCGACTGAAATATGACTGCTCTTCCGAGGGCTTCAACGCGGAGTCCTTGGTGTGATGAAGTTTTATTTTTTTGAAATGGATCCTGATTCCTCGGGCTTCGATCTCAGAAAACTCATCGCATCTTGGAACAGATAATGACCGCAGACAAATATCCGTACGTATTTTCGCGCGAAATACAGGCTAGTCTTAATATAGTGGTGCAAGGTATTTGCATGAAAATCAGGTAAGTAAATTTATGCAAATAATATATGATACAGCAAATTTAATCATTACCGACAGAGGTCAAAATAATATTCACTTCTAGAAGAGAAACACAAATAAAATAACAGGCAAGCCTTCGCGTAAAAACATCGTGGCTTCATAATATGTTAAATTTTACCGTAGGAAAGATCACTATTGTTATGATAACGTAATTTATTACACCCATTTTGAAATCACTGGTGGTCCCTGTAATCTGATTGGCTCTAATTGGTGCGATTTATTCACAAATTGCACCATTTTTTGCTTTATGTGGAGGCAACATTAAAAAAAAAAAAACAACCAGTCAGACTTCAAGGCTTGTTTAAAGTAACCGATCAAATTGCAGGAAGATGAAAGACATGAAGTGTCATGTGGCAAATTTTGCAACTTTTGTTTCCAAAACTCTTATTTTTTCCTCCCAAAAAATGGATTAATTTAATTTGAAACTGGCTCAGTATTGTAGTAACAAAATATTTGAAGTCCTGTATTTGGGCGATTTCAAAATGGATGTAATAAAGTGGTAATTGAACTTTGTGTTGTGCAATTTTGGTCTGAAATCATACTTGTGACTTCAAATTGAACTCGCGCTGCGCGCTCGTTCAATTTTGAAATTACGCGTATGATTTCAGCCCAAATTGCACTCCACTCAGTTCAATTACCATTATAAATTGCACCTGTCGCAAAGTTAAATAAGTATTTCATTGGTGTTTATATAGTAAGTAGAACATTACGTGGCCGCCCGGAGGTACGAGTTTTCGAATGTTGAAAAATATTTCTCTAGTTAGCTGCATGGAACATTTTAGCTATGCACCTCGAAATTAAATTTCAATTTCGTATCTCCGTGCGGCCATGTAATATCCTTTACTTCTGATGGAGGTCATGAAAGACTAAAGACTGTTTTGGTGTTTCGTCATAGTTATCAGTAAAAGAAATTAAAAACTGGAAATGTCTACTCTTCTACCGGTGTTCTTCAAAGACTGAAGTAAATCGTTCGTTCTAATCTCTCTTTCGTTCTCTGATGGGTATGTTGTGAAGAAATACGATAGACCCTACTTGGAAATTATTTGCATCTTTAAGCTAGTATTTCCTTCAAGGGGCTCTTCTAATCTTTTTACGGAACGACGCCAGACAATTAAAACACAAGACATTTAAAAGAGAAATTATACTCACCTGTGCAACAGGAACGTGGTTGGAACATAAAACCAAATAAAACAAAGATAGGGAGATGCTTGAGCTTCATCGCTATAAATGAATTACGAATATAAACTTGTGAATCCATTTTCTTCTCGTCGAAAAATTAGCGATTTTGCTCTGACAAGATTATAGCTGAATAACCGTCAGCATTCTAACTAATCACTGAAAAAGGGGAAACGTAAGTTTTAAGAGGGGACAAAAATTTCCTTATTATGCGTTCCAACGCACTCAGTTTAACTTTCAGATCTCACAAACTAGTTTCTCGCAAATCGATCCTGAAGGAACGCCCCTTGAAGCAGTGGCATCCAACATTCATGAACTTTTGTGTGAGTAACTGCTCTGTGTTAATACACACAACGAAGCTTTTCAGCCTACGGAACATACGGTTTTGAAACCTCCAGCCAGGCAAGCTAACAAACAAAGTTTTGCGATTCGTACAAAAGGATCGGGAGTGCTTTCTTCTAAGACGTTAGTTGGCCTCACAAAGGCATTATCTGATTCCTTTTTAGGCAAGATTTCCTTACACTAAATTAAAGTACTAAATTATGCACACAGTTATTTGATAAAAGAAAAAAATAACGAAACCAATAGATTACTTTAAGGACTGAGGTTTTGTTTTTGAATGGTTGGGGTAATACAGAAACAAAAAGGATGAAGTTTCTAGAACTGAATTAAGAACGGGGTTTACTCTTCTGATATTGACTTTGAAAAAATGAAGGCTGTGTGATCGCTTAGTGTTCCGTTAAGGGAAAATACGAGTCAAAAATTTAAATAATCAAAACTTGTATAACCGAGTCAGGAGGAGCATAGGAGTCGTGATGGCCATAATGATACAAGCCACTGAGATTCAACAATAACTCTTTTAAATACCTAAGACCCACCTAAAATTTTATGGAGACAGGGTCTTTTCAGCCGCTGCCCCCAGGCAATAGAATGTCTCACCCATAGACCTTAAAATTGAGTCCATTAGTTTCTGTTTTTGAGAAAAGATTAAAGAAGCATTTTATTTAGAGCTACTTATCAGTAACTGTCAATTTTCAACCATGATGAGGAGCTTTTTTAATGTACTGCTATACAGATTAAGTTATTATTATTCGAGACACTCGTTTTTTTGTGAAGTTAATACTTTATCATTATTGTGCCATAAACGTGACAGTTCAGAAATCCACTGGTCTTATTTTCATCTCGGTTCTCTTTAGAGAGTAATAATGTCCTTTCCAGTCTTTCCAGTTCACTCCATCAGCAAAGGAGGAATGACTTCCACGAAGATATAAACCATTAAGATTTGAGCGGTGACAATTCTTGTACCACCAGGCTCCTTTGAACTTAATGGCGCAGTTGAGACCTCCATGATTATCATTACCTTTATCATTATCTTGATCTCTGGTGGTGAATGGCATACCGCGATGTACAGCAAGAGAGTCACCAGAATTTCCTGAAAAAATGAGCCGCATTATGAGTACTACGTTTAACCAATAATGAGCCGTTCATAAGGCTGAACAAATGTTTAAATATCAAATAAGTATATCAATTTAACATTAATAATATGGATTAAAAGCATTCTTAGTAATGTCTGTGATTCATGTCGAAGGTTCAAGGGACTGAATTGCTCGATATGACAATGTCAATAAATATGTTTGCCGAGGCACTCATCAGAGTTGGATAAGTTCGTCAGGTTATCTGCGCATGATCCACTGGCGAATACCTTTGGACTAAACAACATCCGGTATGCGCTGTCCAGGATTGCATATCGACGAGCTGACGTTTCTTTTTTGTCTTCCAAAGCTATTGATGTAAAAGACGTTTAGCATATTTACATAACTTAGCACTGTCCTCCCCCTTTCTTCTTAGATTGACTAAAATAGAAGAGACGGAATGACAATTTACCTGAATAAGAACCAAGGATTAGCTTGTACTTATCATTTTCACTTTTGACACCAAACATCTTATACTCAGCATAGGTATGACTTCCTTCAAAGTCTTCCAAGTCTACACGCAGCACGTTGTTATTATCAGAGGTCAGGCGATGAATCTTGTCCAGTCCCAGCCAGAATCCACCGTTTAGATCTCCGAATCCGTGTTTATAGTCTATCCAATTGAGGTAGAAGTCAACCGAACCATCCAGTCTCTTCTGGAACACCGTCCACCCTCCACCAGCTGTTGTTAGGTCACAGAATACATCAAAGCCCGGCAGATTATCAGGTTTAATGGTATACATACCATCTCTTCTTTCCCCAGCATTGAAAATCTCAGCACAATTTTTCTTAAAAGCTGCAAAATGAATGAAAACATTGTCGGGTTTAATGCTATACACACAGTCTATGGTGACGCTGGTTTTCGCTGAAAGTGTGTTATATTAATCATGATTTGTCTCCTCAATATAAATGCAAAGAATGTAACTCGGGATTCTTTCTAGTTTTCAACTGTATTCAACTTTGCCTATTCTTCTAGATGAAAATGTCAATACAATATTTCTGGAGAGATGGAAATCAAGGAGAAAATTGTCGGGTTTAATGCCATCAGTCCCTCCGTCTGTCGTGATACTGATTTCTGTAAAACTTATAAATGTCATGGCATGTCTACTAAATATGTTCTTAGATTCTTTCTACTTTCCAAATGTATTCAAATTTAACATTTCTTTTTAAAGTGAAGTGTTCAAGATTTGTAAAAACACACAGCTATTCTTTCTATCACCGTTAGTAGTTGTGTTTTGTTTTCTCTTTTGATAATGCCTTTATTTTAATTTCAAAATTCTTTTTTACAGTCAAGTGTTCAAGATTTATAAAAATGATAGCTATTACTTTTATCACCGTTAGTGGCTGTGTTTTGATTCCTCCTTTAATAATGCCTTTGTTGATTTAATTTTTTTCCGACGCAGAATCAATTTGTGTTGATACAAGTTCCAGAAACACTTTATTTGTCTAAGTAAACTAACTGTGTCTATTCGGAGTTTCAATATCATACGTTCTCTAATTTATCTTCAGTGGATAGTAGATTGTCCAAGAAGTCAAATTTGCTGAATTTCCAGATTCCCATATATGCTTTTGCGTATGATTTCAGAAGATATTTCTATTAACCGATTTTAAAACAGTTGGTAAGTCACCTTACTGTCAGTTGTTCAATCAACCCAAGAGACTTAGTGAAAGAAAACGCAAGTTGTTATACCTCGAAATTGGCAGTTCTCCCCTGTGAATCCATCACGACAAACACAACGAAAACCTTTATTGGTGAATCCAGCTTGACAGGTGCCATTGTTCAAACATGGGCTGCTGCTGCATGGATTCTGTTGGCAGAAACAAAGTAGCTTCGTGCACTTTACTCTTGCCAATGACTCATAACAACAACACTCTAAAATGAAAACATCTTATCTGTGTCTGTCTCCTAATATTTTCGTAAGAATGTGAAATGTTACCTCGACTGCAAGATGATTGTAACCTGGTTTATTAGTGAGAAGAAATGGAGCATGGTTTTCCCCCGTTGCGTTGTTCAACTCGCATTTTTGCTTTTCCCCGTCAAATGGACCAATATTGATGGACACACAACTAGGCTCCATATAACACATCACTCTGCAGCTCCCTTCATCAGTTACCATAACACTCTTGATCACGTGATTTTTTAACACCATGTCTGGTATTGGCTCCCTAAATATGATGTTTCGGCAATCATCACCTGGTGGAGGGAGGAGGACTAAACTAAATTGTTTATTCTGCAATCATTGAAACAAATTTCTGCCTTTTCACCAACACCCTATTTTAATACCTTACAACTCAATAGCATGAAAACCTTACAAAATTAATCATCACTCGAGAATCAAATGCTAACTGGTAGAGGTTCCTTATCGGAAAATTTATCCATGCGGCTGAGTTTATATAGGGATTATTTTCGTGCTGTAAATTGTAACAGTGAATCGTTCGTTCTAATCTATATTTTGTACTCTGATGCTTTGAAATTATTTACATCTCTAAGTTGGTATCCTTCTGCTCTTCTAATCTTTTTGTAGAAACGACGCTAGAAAATTAAAGCACCAGAAATTTAAAAGAGAAATTATAAATTATACTCACCAGTGCAACAGGAACATGATTGGAACATAATACCAAATAAAACAAAGAGAAGGAGATGCTTTAGCTTCATCGCTAGAAATGAATTATAAATATAAAACTTGTAGTCAAAATATGATCGTGATCATGTTGATAACTGTGATTCAAAAACTGTGGCAGGTCTTCAGTATTTATTCTTCGACTTTGTCTTCTTCTAAGGATATCTTAATGATCACCTTCTTTCATTGACAACTACTTTGTTCAGTTATCTGATTAGAAATATCGGCTGGTGGGCTTATTCCTTTCCTCCGCTGAAAACATAGTCTTAGGTAGAGACTTATTCTTATCAAATATTCATCTATTAACTGCTACAAAAGGCGAAAAAAGAGAGAAATTAACCTATTGCTATATCAAATTTCAACTGTACTCCGGTACTTACTTGTACATGTTTTAATAAAATCTATCGATTCCATCTTATGGTCAGACAAAATTTTATGCAGTATGAGAGAAGACGAAAATATAACTCGTTGTACCTATTAAAAAGACTAAGTACATAAGAGTGTTTTCAGCATTTAACTTGAAGCAAAAATTTAAAAGCAGTTAATTGCACTTGGCAAAAACTTTTTGCCAAATAAAAACATGCCGAGTGATATAAATATCAAATACACTGCTCAATGTTGTTTGCTCGTTTTGTGGTGAAGTCTGCTTGTTTGTGATTGATAGTTTCGAAAGGGGAGATCTATATAAAAGACAAAACACTAGATTAAAATTCAAACAGAGTGATTGCGGAGGTTGAAATAAATAATATTGGTAATGTTAACACACATTTGCAAGTTAAACTCCTCAACACATAAAACAATTCCTTGCAGAAGATTCTAAACTTTAACGAGTGCACATAAAATGATCTTCTTTGAAACTGGAATTTGTGTTCAAAGGTATCATACGAAGGGTAAACATTGCTAACGGACGCTCTCACAGGTTGAAGGGAAATGAATTGAACTAAGTTTGAACGACAATGGAGCACGTCTATGGTAGCGAATCCATTTTCTTCTCGTCAAAAAATTTGCGATTTTGCTCAGACAAGATTACAGCTGAATAAGCGTCAGCAGTCTAAATAACCCCTAAAAAAAAAGGAAACGTAAGTTTTAATGAATAACGAAAATTTCCTTACCAAGCACTCCAGCGCACTCAGTTTAACTTTCAGATCTCACAAACGTGCTTCAAGCAAATCGATCCTGAAGGAACGCCCCTTGAAGCAGTGGCATCCAACATTCAAGAACTTTTGCGTGAGTAACTTCTCTGTGTTATTACACACAACGAAGCTCTCCAGCCTCCAGAACTTACGGTTTTTAAACCCCAAGCTGGGCAAGCTAAACAAAGTTTTGCGATTCGCACAAAAGAAACAGGAGTGCTTTCTTCTAAGACGTCAGTTGGCCTCAGAAAGGTATTATCTGATTTATTTTTCGGCAAGATTTCCTTACAAAGGTTTACTAAATTATGCACACAGTTATTTGATAAAAGAAGAAAATAACGAAACAAATAGATTACCTTTAGGACTGAGGTTTTGTTTTTTAATGGTTGGGGGTAGTACACAGAAACAAAAAAGAAAGAGTTTCTTGTGACTTTGGACAGAAGGTTGTAATAAACTTTTAAAGGGTCGTGAGGTTGGGATTTGAATACTTAAAAACAAATTTTGACCTTTCACTGTATTTTGTGGCTATACACTCATACAACACGACACACGACATGCTTTGAGCGTCCAAAGTCACAGATATACTTATATTTATTTTTATAACAAAGGAGGACCCGTTGCAATATCACAAACAAATAAACACGCAAGAAAGTACACTTTGCGTGCAATAAAGAGTACGCTTAGGGTATAATTTATCAAACTTCAGGCAGTGAGTCGGTGTTTTTGGTTGCACTAATAACAACTGAGAGAGATTAAAAATGTGAGAAAAAAACATATTAAATTGACATGAGCGTAAGACGAAGGAAGAGTTCAGGGGCTACGTCACGACTCGCACGTGCGTACTATGAATCGAGAAATTAAAGAAAAGAACGGGACGTTGACAGCCATTGCTAGTTTCAAACAATCCATCTGAATTGTGTCTGGATAAAAAAAAAGGCCTCTAATTCGAAGTAATTACCTTGTATTGTATCTCTACTCCATGCCCGAGGTTTTTTATAGCGTAACATACCGTTCACAATTCAGTTAGGATATTCCCCCCATCAAAAAATCAATTTTCATGTCGGAAATCAATTAACAGGGTCCGTTACTGTTGACCTCTTACTGACTTCGTCATTGTCTGTTATTTCCCGTGTTTGATATCATTTTCCATGCTTGTATTTACTAAGTGGATTTCGACTTAGTGTCGTACCCAATATTATTAATAATGGAGGGCCTATAATAACCAACATTAACATCACTAATCGGGTGTCCGATCGAGTTTGATTAATTCCTCAATTCCGAGTCGGATTATCCAGGGTTGACTCCGTCCCATACCTCCCACAGTACACGGTTGGCAAGGGGTAATAGTTCACTTAGCAGTTCACAAAAATGTTGGGCACCACTTCTTCTCAATTATTGAAGCAAGCACTGATTTGGAGGCTATGATTGTTAAGATAGGGTTATGACATCTTTACTCCTAGTATGCACATAGAATCTAGGCACTAGTTACGTTATACCTTTGTGTAGCAAACTCTTGAACTTTGTGTACCTGGCACACGCGGTTACACAAGCTGATATATGAAAGCCGAAACACATCAAATGTACGAATATTGTATGCCTGTACTTTAGTTGTAAACAATTTTCGTATTTTTCACAAATCTAACTTTTCACGGCTCAATGACCGTCAAACTAAATATTATGTATTTGCTGTTGTTCAGCAAATGCATAATTTGACAGCACTATCTCAGGCACAGTCCATGAGAATGCTACATTTCGGTTATCATTCACTGTTTCCATCAGTGACCCCTTAAACCCCTCGAAGAGCGACTGGCTTCTACTTTCTCCTTACAGTAACACCCTTGGATCAAATGTAAAGGTCATGATAATAGTGGAAATGATCGCCAATTTGAGAGGCTCCTGATTGTGAAACAAATTCTCCTTGTCTGTACTATAAGAAATGAGATCCAAGGGAATGCAAAGAGAACAGAGTAGAGAATATGACTGACAATGTAAGAGTGTAAAGGGTTAACCACTCGATCAGCTCAAACTAAGCGAGGGATCAGTAACCACTCAACTAGAATTCAATGTGTAAAGCCCATCTTATATTTTTAAAACAACAAGGTAAATGACATGTTATGGGCTCTCTTTCTTTTCTTTTAATGGTTGCGTATTCAAAGTGAAAAGTTGTCTTGCAAACAGAGCACAATTCAGCGGATATCAGGTAAAAATCTTGAATTTCAAACATGACATTAAACATCATCGTCGGTGAAAAAATCTTAATTTACAACTGTTGCTTTGACAACTTGATTGCTGCCGTTACTGATTATATATATATATATATAAGACAAGACGAAAAAAACATCATTCTCTATTTCTTTACCGAGCTCAAAACTTACCATCTCTCTTATTTTTATCTACTGATACTAATAATTGGTCGAAAAGTAAATAAAACGGTGACATCGGCTTAGCCATAGCATTTTATATAGTTTCGGCGAAGACCCGACTAGAAATCACCATCCAATAAAAAAAGTAAATAAATATGAGTATTTTTAGTCATTTTAGCTTTCAATTTATGCAAATGAAAGGCAGATAAATTGCGATTTTCAAAACCCTTTTTTCTGAATGAAAACATGATATAAATATCTAATTTCAAGAGACTGTGCAATGCTGTTTACTTCAGTTGCCAATTTGCGGCAAAGTCTGCTTGTCTGTGTCCTGAGATACTGAGATACGAGACAAAAAAAAATTACAATATATTTAAGTTGAAAGCTCGCGTGGGTTGAAAGAAATTGGTCGTGTTGAGCCACATTGGCGTAAATTCTTCAAATTGATCTAATTTTGAACGAAACCTGTGCACATATATTGCAGGGATCTGTTTTCTTCTCCGCGCAATTTACGATTTTGCACTGAACAGATAAGGAATAAGCTTGAGTAATAATGAAACAAATCTTGTCCCTTTTCACGTGGATATCTGCAGAAAAAAACTTTTCTGAATTATAAACAATTAATCTAAAAAAGCAATTTCCTTATTTCCATTACCCACTGCTTTCCCCGTTTTCAGTCCACAAATTTATTCTTGAATTTCAAAACAGTGAATTTTTTATTTTTCCCCTCTTCCATATTCCACATTACTTACAAAACTTACAAAATCCTCTCAAGGAGAGCACTGAAAACCTCGGGCACGGAGTAGTGATACAGTATAAGGAAATTATTTCGAATTAGAGGCCTTCTTTATCTGGACTGATATTGGCGTAAGTGTTGATAAAACAGTCAATGTTATATCTAACGTAACATATTATGTGTGACCGATATAAACACCAAAAGATCAAAAACAGTCTCTTTTATTCTAAAGAGAAAAATGAAGTTTTTACTGTACCTACTGACAGCGTTCTTGAAAGACTGAAGGCAGCCTAGTTCTTTCTTTTTCTTTGAAATTGACAACTAGTCAGACTTGGAACACTTTTTGATAAAGACTTTCTTCTTCATCAGCTATAATATGTGGTGAAAAATCCATTACCGTAATGCAACTACGAGCAAATTGCAACACATACTCATAAAACTCAAAAACAGGTCGAATGTAATCTAAGGTCATCTCACGATGCCGTATCAGTTTAATGAGCCATTCTACGGAACTGATCAATACTTTTAGTTTAAAAACGCTAAAGCGACAACCATCCAGCACTAAGAGTGAAATATGTGACGAAAGGAAATCTAACACAAAAGAGAAAGTAATTAAAACTATATAGTTTTATTCCACTTGATATAAAGTAAAGGCCTAAAACACGATATTGATGAAGGGAATAACATTATCATAGACTACTAAACAAACAAATTAAATAGAATTACTCGCTTTTTGCTGATTCCAACTGTGTAATAGTTGTGCTGTGAACCGCAAAAGGCGGTTTTAGTGTAAAGCGTCATGAAAGTCAGAAATCTATTGGTCTCAATTTCATTTCGGTCCTCTTCAGCAAGTGTTTTTGTCCCCCCCAGCCTCTCCAAATCACGCCATAAGCTTTGAAGGAGTCAGCTCTATGATGATATCTGCCATTCAGGTTAGAGTGGTAGCAGCTAACATACCACCAGGCTCCGTGACGCGACTCTGCACAGTTGTTCTTCCACTCATCATTATCTTGATCCAGTGTGCTCCATGGCCGATCACGATGATGAGAGAGAGAATCACCAGCAGATCCTAACGGATCAAATCGTATCATACAGTTACACATAACATGATGAAATGTAGCAATATAAGTATTGAATGAAAATGTCAATACTTGTCAAACTAATGTCAATACGAAGTTTTATTCCATGAAACCACTTGAAATTGTTGTTGTGTTTGGTTTAACAACTATTTGAAATGCGATACTTATCAAACATGGATGGGTCAGTTAACTGAGAAAGTTCCATCCTCGCTTTTTGTTTCACTTGCCTGACCATATTTTCCTTTGTCTAAAAGGATGTCTCTAGTCTATCGGTGAATACCTTTACACTAAATCTATGTACAATATGCACCCTCCCTAATTGCATTCGGGTGATGTTGAAGTAATTAATATTTTTCTTCATCGAGAGCTGCTAATACCAAACAGGTTACTAACACATTGTTTATGACGCTGTCCCTCTTCCCAGTTTTACCTGAATAGAAACTGAGGATCAGCCTGTACTTGTCTTTCTCACTCATGACACCAAACGTGTTATACTCAGCAGAAAGATTATTCCCTTCAAAGTCTTACTGTGTTGAGACTTACTCACTGTTTATGACACCGACACTCCACCTGATCTAAAGATTACGGAACTTATTTCATTACCTGAATAATCACCGAGGATCAGCCTGTACTTGTCTTTCTCACTTGTAACACCAAACAAGTTATACTCAGCATAACGAGTTTCCCCTTCAAAGTCTTCCAAGTCCACACGCAACATGCTGTTATTATCTAAAGTCAGGCGGTGAATCTTGTCCAGTCCAAGCCAAAATTCACCATTCAAGTCACCAAAGCCACTTTTGTAGTCGGCCCATTTAAGGTAGAAATCAACCGAGCCGTCCAGTCTCTTCTGGAACACAGTCCATCCTCCACCCTCCGTCGTTTGGTCACAGAATACATCAAAGGCAGGCAAATCGTCAGGTTTAATTATGTACACGCCGTCAGTCTTTTTGCCGGATCTGTAGATTTCAGCGCAATTTCTTGCGACTGAAAATCAGCGAAAAAAATAGCATCATTAAGGTTATAATGTTTGGCTAATGATTGCCTTTTGCTAACATGACATTTACTTTGGCTAATTTAACTTTATACTGAACATTATCAAGTACAATTTTGGCAGTTTTCCCCAATGAATCCATCCTGACAGACACAACAAAAACCTTTGCTGGTGAATCCAGCTTGACAAGTGCCATTGTTCAAACATGGACTGCTGCTGCAGGGATTCTGTAGGAGGAAAGCAAAAATAGCTGAGCTTCGTGCAACTCAATCAAGAATAATCGAAAACGAAACAATTTCATCTTTGTCTTAATCCCCTCAATTTGGTAAGAATATAAATATGTTATTCACCAGCCGGAAGGTTCGGATTGAGAAAAACCGTGCGGTTCTTGCATGAGTGTCACCCGAGGCCGTAGCCTACACATATTTTATGAATGAAGATTGTATCGATAAATTCAATTGTAAGCAACTACCACACGTTTTAACTTTCTAAGTAACTTTTTTGAAAGATCAAAAATAATTACAAACGATTTTTAGGCCGCGTGTCAACCTATCTAATATGTCATTAAAATTAAAAACGGCAAAGAAGGTACGGATGTTCTCGACGACTTACGAAAGCGTTACGGTGCCCGTGAGTAGAGATAGGAAAATGCGGACCGCGCTGTCGAAAGCACTAGTAACCAAACGGATGGCAGGATTCGTTACCGAACCCTCTGGGAGAAAAAAAAATAAATGTTACCTCGATTGCAAGATATGTGTAACCTGGTTTATTCACCAGTAGAAATGGGGCATGGTTTTCCTCCGTGACGTTGTTCAACTCGCATTTGTGTTTTCCTTCATCTAAAGGTCCAATATTGATGGACACACAATTAGGATCCATATAGCACATCACTCTGCAGCTCCCTTCACTGAGTACCTCTGAACTTTTTATGGAGTAATTTTTTAATACCATGTTTGGTATTGGGTCCCTGAATATGATGTTGCGAAAACCGCTATCTGTAGAAGGCAAAAGTAATGAAAATTATTGATGTATCTTATGTCTGTTGGGGAAATAAGGCGCAAGAAGCCGTTCTATTTGGCAACTTAGGCCACAGTCACGCTAAAACTTGAATGAGTCTGATATAATTTCTACAGTTGAAAATTGGGTTATGTGATAATTTTTATCATAACATAGCTACTAAATTTGTCTAATCAAATTCAATTGCGCGAGCGTGCTTCATATTCCTATTGTGCACGCTCATGACGTCAGCAAACAAATCCCACGAGAAAAAAATTTTCCTTCGGGTTTAAAATGTTATAAAACAATTGGTTCTTACGTCAACTGTGCGTTCATCGAGATATGAAGCACTTGGGAAGTTTGGAGAGCACTCAAGAAGCTAGAGTTGCTCGCGGCTACGCCTCGAAACTTCCCGTGTGCTTCATATCTCGATGAACGCGCGCTAAAATATGAACCAATTGTTGATGAAAAATTATCATATTTTTTCACGTGGGTTGATATAGCCAATCGGCTGCTTACACGTCACTCGCCTTCGGCGCCACTCGTTCAGGTTGATGAATGAACAGCAAAGCCTTCACGATTCTCAATACAAATTGTTTGTCGGAGCTTTCTCAAATTATGGCGGCTAAAACACTAAAAAAATCCGTATCGCTGGCAGACAATAAGGTTTAAACTTTCCTAGAAAGGGAAGAAAACCAATATACTAAAAGAAAAACCGAAAGCTGCGTATTCAGTGGCTTTCGTGTTAGCATTTCTCACGTCCGAGAATGAAAATGGACAACTGGAAGATTTGCCACTGGCCGATTTTGGCCGTTTACCTGAAACACCTTTTTCTGTCGGTAAGGACAAAGTAAATAAATGAGAATTTTGTAAATTGAAAATTACGACCATTGTTGTTTTTATAATCATGATTCAACGCATTTTTCCATCTTAAGAGTCAGCGCCAACGCACTTTACGATTGTTATTTGGGGATTGTCGATTCATTTATTTTCATTCATCAATGAAGTCGGCTTTTCTTCCCAGTAAAGGGCTATTGTGTTTATATGATACACAAAACAATAAATGGTTACTTGTAGATATGGAATTTCTCTTCTCGCGTTCAACTCGACACCTCACTCGTTCGCTGCGCTCATTCGTGAGCTATTGAGTTAAACACTCGAAGAGAAATTCAATATCTACGTGCGTAAGTATTGATTTTCCTAACAGTACTGTTCAATAGAAGATTGTGTTCTAAAAAAACGTGCAGTTTCAGAATTTTCAACACAAAGCTACATAACATTCTGGCCGTAAATTCTAGTAAACAAACATTTAAGTATGGTAGATCAAATACTAAAATCTCGTACATAAAATAAATTCGTGTTCGTTTTTACCGTAAGAACCTCAAGAAGCTAGAGTTGTCTAGCCAGGGGGTAGTTCTTGCCTCAAGAAGCTAGAGTTGCTCTCGGTTGCGCCTCGAGCAATTAATACTCTTCTCTCGTGCTCTCCAAATTTCCCAAGTGCATGCATAACTCGACATACGCACGCCTAGAGTGAATCAATTCTTTATTACACATATCGCTGATATCGACTGCTTTAATCCAAAAGCTGTCTGGAATATGGTATGGTCCTAAGCTCAAAAAGGGACGAGAATAAATCATTTAGAGATTCAGAGAGGACAACCTTTCTATGGCACGAATCTGGTTTTCCCAAAGTTCGATTTTGCGGAGTAGTTAATGACTCTCGAAATTTTAAGAAACTTTTCGGGGAAAATAATTTAAACATCAGAAAGTTGTGTAAAAAGAATAAGGGAGATGGTAAGTTTTGAGCCCAATAAAGAAATAAGATGTTTTTCGTCTTCTCGTGAGCGTAGGTCAAAGAAAAAATTCTGAGTCCCCATGAGGAATCGAAGCTCAGACCTTCGGATGGTTTGGATCAGAAAGTTATAATGAAAGAGCTTGAATTTAAGACGAAATTCTACTCACCCATGCAACAGAAACACGGAAGGAAAGTTATTCCAAGTAAAATAAAGAGAATACCCATCATGGCAGCAAGGTAAGGTTTGAGCTCCATCGCTATAAAATTAAATGTAAGTATCACAATTATTATCTATATTATGTCAAAGTCAGTAGTCCACAAATGATTAAAATGCCCGTTGTCACATACACTTAGAATATATCTTTGTTAATCATGAGTTCAGTTTCAATCTATGAGTTGTGTAGTCTTCAATGAACGCTTCATTACCCCGAATTTAAGATGCACACAATTACGTTTTCCATAAAGTGCCGATTTCGTTAGCGAATGTGTTCGTTCTAAAATGCAATTTTCACTTTTACCACTTGACAACAAAATTCTACAGTTGAGAGGTTTTTTCTCATCAAATATTTATCTTCTGCGTCAGTGAGTTCACCAGTCTATGATAAATATAGAGAGAAATTACGGAATTATTTTCAAAGAAATGATCATAAGACAATCCCTCCGCTGCATCTGTGATTTTCATATTCTAGTCTTGGCTTTTATTCTTTAATGGGCATGGTTTGAAGACCATGAAGGCTTAGGTGAAAACGGAGATAAGAAGTTTGTAAATATGCGCATTTACAGCTTTTAGTTTTTAATTAGAACTGGTCTCCTGAGGCAAGCGCTGTTGATTACAACTGTAAATGTTTCGTACCAAACCAGAGACTAGAAGTGATTTCTCTAATTTAATTGATTCAATAAACCAGAAGCTCCCAAAGCTGGTCGTTTTCATTACAATGGAACAAAGAGAACGGAATGTTGGGACCGGCGCCACAAAAATGACAGGAAAGAAATTTAAAAGGGGAATTATACTTACCAATGCAACAGAAGCACGGCGGGAAAGTTATTCAAAGTAAAACATAGAGAAAGTTAATCATACCTGCAAGAACAAGTTTAAGCTGCATTGCCACTTCCTAGAAATATCATGATTCATCCAAAAAATATGATAGTGTGATCATATTTGTGTCTTCAACATATAACTAAAATACCTGTTTCCTCGTAAATTCGAAAACTAATCATTCTTTAAAAAGCAGGTGTTCATATCTGATCTTTTTTTTTTATTTATTTATTTTTGCTTCGTCGTCTAACAACACATAGTTATCACGATTCTGGTGACAAAAATTTTTGAGATGATAATCGTTGCCGAAAAAAGGTCGGTCTTTTTTTCTTTTTATCGCTTGAAAAATGATTTCTCAGGCGATTTTTTTCCGTATTTAGGCTTATCAAGGAAAATAACGGTATTGCAATGAGAATAATAGTTACAAGCAATCTGCATCACAGTGTTACTGAATATTTTATTCTAATCTATCAATTTTTTTGGTGGCCGTTGTATTAAGCTTCCACTGAAAACAAAACATTAAACTTATCCCCGCTACGAAAGGAGTTTGTTAACAAAAGCATTTTCAACCTGTTCAGCTTTCATATGTCCTTAATGCTTATGTTTTGAGGCAACTAAGTGCAATTAATTTGTTTGAGCCCACACATTGTCTTCGTATCAATGAGTTTAATGATGTAGTTAGTTTGTGAGTCACACGACTTTTAACTGGACCCCACCCCCCCCCCCCCAATTCTTATTTAAAATTCTTGTGTTTGAACAACATTATTCGCTGGTTCTTACAGAGAGTCCACTGAAAATTATTTGCCTTAGTAGTTTAGTGGCTCACTCTTCTCGTTTAGGTAGGGCGGCTAAAATCTCACTGCTGAAAGGCGATGGGCCACTGTCAACTAAGATTGCCATCGTTCCATGCAATGGAGAAATTTTTGAGGCATTTATTTATCAGAGCTACTTAAGAAACAAGTATGGAAAACACACATCATAAATTGTGGACCGCAAAGTGCATTATAGCATTGTAAATTTTTTTCCATTTTTGAGAACAAATGTTTCAAGTTGAAGTCTCGGTTTGCTCTTGTTTGAATATTTGAATCTAAATCATAAATGCTAAAAATAAGATGAAATACATGAGGCACCAGGCAAGACAGCCGAACATCTGTAGCTCTATGACTAAATGTTCAAATCCATTATCTGCAAATAGACTGTTCATGTTTTCCCCTACTATTTATGTGGTTGTAACAGCGACGACTGCATGCGCAAACAGTAAATATTCAAGGTATCAGTTCGTAACCGAAAAAAAAACACAGCATTACTAGGTGCAGAGGACAGCTGACAAAAAGACAGCTAAATCTTTTAGACATCTAGTTGAACTATGTAAGGAAATAACAGTTCAGAAATCCACTGGCTTAAATTTCATCTCGGTCCTCTTCAAAGAGTATCGATATCCTTTCCAGTGATACCAATTCACACCATCACCTACGGAGGAGTGCTGTCCATGATGGTAAAGGCCATTCAGGTTGGAGTAATGACATGACTGGTACCACCAGGCTCCTTTGGATTCCGTGGCACAGTTTTTTACAGAACCATCGTTATCGTTGTCTTTGGTGGTAAATGGCTGGCCACGTCCACGGCTGAGTGAGTCACCCGCAGTGCCTGACATGATTAAAAATCAACAAATACAGAGATACTTTTCAGTATAGAATACAGATCTTTGGCGTCAAGTAACATTGTAATTATCATTACCATCGTTAACATTGCCATCATCATCATCATCATCACCATTATGGTAGCATAATCATTGTTATTAATGTTTTATAATCATCATTATAGTTACGATTTACATCAGAACGCAAATTGAGTTTTTCGCCTTTCTACAATGTTGATTTAACACTGCAAAGGATTCCTTCGTTTTCTCGCTTTTCTCCTTTATCAAGAGAAACCTCTACACAGATATCAGGCGACATGTTATTGTTGCCGTTCTATGATAATTACCCTTAAGTTTTCACGTTATTCCGGCGAACTTAGGTAGCACTGAGGACTAAAACTAATGAGTCTTCTTGATTACAATGACCGCCATTTATTGGCGATCATTTGTAGTAAAAATCGACTAAAAATTAAAACAGTCGCAAGTAAATGCTCAGCAGTGCTCATTAAACTTAGGGAATTATGGACATGTGCCGTATCAATAAATGATCCATTCTATAAAAATTAACTTCTGCTATTTCTAAAATGGTGGATTAATTCTTCTACTCACTCTTCTCGCTAATCATTCATATTTACCCTACTCCTGTGTGGCATTTGAAAATTAAAATAATGAAAAACTCAAAATAAAACCAACGAACAACAAATTATAGTACTTCTTTAAACATAGAACGTTATTCATTTTTGATCATTTGTGAAACAAATCGAACGAAACGTCATTCACCCAGAAGTGAATCGTTAGCAAGACTCAGGAAACTTCAGAACTTACTAACATCTAGATGGATGGATCCTAAATGTGTCATCTTCCATTTTGCTGATTATTGAGACAATCGCGTAGCTAAAGGGGGAGGGGGTGGTGTCCTGGCGTGCCTGTGACCCCCCATGTAAGCCGTTATGTCACAAGTAAAATGAGTACCTTTTGTTTGAGGCAGTGTGACCCCACCCTCCCCTCCCCCCTACTCTTTGAAAATTCCTGGCTGCGCCTCCACTCGTGTGGCATGGAAACTTAAAACAGCTATTTAAAACTGAAAAGCTAGCTTAAAAACAAAACAGCAAACATTAAACTATATATCGGTAAAAAGGTTGCGAAGAATATCCCTATACACGACTGTACTTTATTAGTCATAATAAGCATAATCTCATCAGCGAGTATTTAAACACAATGGCGGGTGCATAATTGTACTCATTATCTTGATCTTGACTCCACGGTCAGATACGATGATAAAAGAGAAAAAATCATAAGCATATTCTCACAAAATAATTGACGAAATTCAAATTCATAATTTTACTGACTTACGATCAGCCGTTCAATGAGGGTCTCGACGGAATTAACCTGGTGTCAGTTATCGGCCAAAAAATTTAGCCGTTAGGCGAAACAATCATACAAATTTGAACTGTTAGTCATAAAAAAATTAACCGTAAAGTTTTTTTTTGGTAGCCACAATGAAAAGATATGAACCGTTAGCCTTAAATTTGCAAAAATTTTAACCGTTAGCCGTAAAAGCCACCACCCTATTGAGAACATCTTCAATGAGGTAAACATAATTGATCTTGAAAAATCTTATCAATCCATTCAATAATAGTGTTGTTGACGACTCTTTGAAAAGAGATCATCACCTTCTCTTTACCTTTAAATACCTCCATATTAAAAAATAAGACACTTGTATTCCGCTGGAAAGACTTGAAACTTCCTGTTCAAATTTCCACTCCCCCAGGTACGAATGACAATCTAACGCCCATGAAGTGCCCGGTGGGGATGATGAAGCTTTGAATTTATCGGCACATAAGTACGAGTTTTCATCGTAACAGAATCTAGGTACCTTCCACTTTACTTATTTTCCCACCTCCACTCTCCTTGCAAGCAGAACATTTTTTCTTACCTGAATAGGCACCAAGAATCAGCTTGTACTTGTTTTCCTCGCTCATAACACCAAACATATTATACTCAGCATAAGCAGTATTCCCTTCAAAGTCTTCAAGGTCCACACGTAGCACGTTGTTATGATCAGAGGTCAGACGGTGAATCTTGTCCAGTCCGAGCCAAAACTCACCACTCAAATTACCGAAGCCATGCTTGTAGTCAGTCCAGTCCAGGAAGAAATCAACCGAGCCGTCCACTCTCCTCTGGAATACAGTCCATCCTCCACTGGATGTCTTTTGATCACAAAATACCTCAAAGACATACTCTCTAGTTCCAAGTGGATCCAACCAATACTTCTTGCTGATGGTGTCTTCTCCCTCACTCGCCTTTATTTCCCAGCAAGACCTTGCGGGCAGCTCAGGAATTGATCCCAAAGCAGCTGTGATGGAAAGAAAGCAAAGAAACAAACAATGCATTGACACTTTGAAACATTCTGAGATCAGTTGTTGCTCTAGAGCTCAATGATTCTCGAATAACTTGAACTGAATTCTTCCCCTGTAGCCGATATCTGTAGTACTCTATGAATTGTATCAGGACTTTTATGCATATCAAGGGTTTATAAGGAAAAAATACTCAAAAGAATAAGCATTTGGTCACAGTTGTTGTTTTTCAACTTTTATGAAAAGTGAATTCCTCGACGTTTTTGACATGTTAATTTTCTATTTACCCTTCTGTGCAGATGAAAGAAGTGCAGTCCAACCTGTAATAAGCGGTCACCCACCAGGAATGTAGGGGTGACCGCTAAATATAGGCTGACCGCTAAGGACATGTTCCAGAGAATAGTGAGAGAATTTTAAAATAACCACAAAAATCGACATTTGATGCCTTAATTGACCACTTAATGTACAAAAACTTGCTCAAGAATGCTAATTACTTAACAGAGGTGACCGCTGGATAGATGTGAAAATTATTCTAATCCAAGGTTTAATTGGTTACTACTTGATGTCAAACAAATAAATAAATAATTCTCATAAAATTACATACCCCTGTCTACCAAACGTTTATGGTAAAACCGTGAAGGGTCTCGAAGGAAATTCTCAGGTCTTGCCTCCTTGGTCCGGTTATTCAGTTCGCAGGACTTTTCTCCGACTACGTAATTGTAACTTTGGCAGGTGATTTCTCTTTCACAACTCATATCACACTCATGGATGGCGGTTACTGAGAACGTTTTGAAAACAAATCCCTGCAGAGCCCATCCACTTATGCTCCTTTCTTGTCTGCATTGTTTGCCAGTAGCCACAATGCCCATCAAGAAGCCAACGAAGTAAAAACAAGACACCTCCGTCGACATTTTACCTCTTAATCCATCTCCTACATAATTAAAATAAAGCCAAACATTAACTCAAGTGAAGAAATAATGGCAATTACCGACGAGTTCCTCACTACTTTTTTCTTGATCAAACCTCTCGATTCCCTGAAACACATACGCAAAATATTCAAAACCATCATATGATCTTTCAAGTTTGACCGTTATTAGCTATTTGAAGGTAGCTGATAGCTCAATACCTGCTCGAGCTGTTTCAAATAATATTGGACATAAAACAGTATGAAACGTTTGCGAACAATCGCAGTTAATTAACATCAATCTGGTCCAGTTTTGTAAAAAACAAAAAGACAAAGCGAAAAAAACTTGAAATGTTATAAATTATAGACGTACCTGAAAAAAGAAGAAAGACTACACTTTAAGAGAGTATATAGAAGAAGTGAATAAGACTATAAAGTTTGTCATGGATTTAGGTCTAGACGTGACTATTGATTCCTTCTTTACAATGATATCAGGCTGCGTCTTATTTTGTATAAACTCAGTTAAAACCAGGTGATTCCTTGGGAAGGTCAATTTTTTCAAACATCTGGTTTAAATGAATTGATTCAATCAGTATTCTAAGCGTTGTCAATGCCCCTGCTAAGTAAGGGTGTCAAACAGTTTTTAGTTGAAAGTCTCACGAGTCTGCCGCTTTGACTCTGTCAGTTAGTGCGGCTGTTTTTTAAAGAAAAGCTTTGTTTATTAGAATTTAAAAGTTTTCAAACAGTGACAAGCTATTCTCGTCAAGGCAAAAAATTCTCTCATTGGATTACTATATTAAATGTTCTCCTACCCATAAAGGACTTTCAGAACACAACACTGTTGCACGTATATCAGAACAAACATTTGCCAAGTGTTGTTTCGTAACCGTCAATTTAGTTTGCAGAGCTGGCGTAATTTTGGCAAGCGTGTGCTCAGTATTTCTTAACAAAATCTATGACCGCCATCTTTGATTTTCATGGCATCAGAAGGCTGGGGAGAGCAAGAAATTGGCAGTCGATGATGTTATAAAGGGTCGAGGTCTGTTGCCTACCCCAAGTCATCGCTATTTTGGTCTGTTTAGCCCGTGGATGTGATTGGTGCGGAAGACTCGTGTCAATAGCCAAATAAGTCATTTTGTTATCCTGACAGTCATTGGTCTTGTAGGATCCGTCTGTTGATGTCGGTCTGTTTGTCGGTTTGTTCGATTCCGCTCTCGAAGTGTCTTTCGGAATTTAATATGTCTCGCGCATTAAAATCGGGACAAAAAGAAGCAATTTCTATACTGGTTTCTGGAAAGGATTTACTAGCCATGTTGCCAACTGGCTTTTGGAAAAGCCTGATATTTCAGGTGTTGGTTCCTATAAAAGAAATTATGACGGGAACTTTCGAGCGGAGCTGTCGTTTGTCCGCTTCAATGTATTGTTGATGATCAAATAGAATAAGCATCTTCGATCAGATTAACGGTAGGTACGCTCGCGGATTGTCATTTGGAGGATAAAGAGTGCGACAAATTTCAAATCATATTTGCGTCAGCAGAGAACGTTTTGGTGAAGCCATTTTTTTTGTTGATGAAAAAAATAGCCACACCGTTTCACCAGAGTAAGCCGGTTTGCATCATGGCGGGTAAACCATCAAATGATGTTGTTTGTTGCTTCAAAGTATAGTCTATGATCAAATGAAAGAAAAAAGAAAATTATTAAATAGATTAACGGCAGCTATACTCAAGGATTTTGTTTGGAAAATATAGAGTGCAGCAAACATCTGTTCATATTTGTGATCGCGGAGGAGGATTTGTCCAAGCCATTTCTTTTCTGGCTGGAAAAAAACTGCCTCACCGTTTCACTAATCGGCTCTACGTGTGTTTGTTTTTGACGGAAGAGAGAGCTTCCGGTTTTTAACTTGATTAATTTTAACTTTACCTGTTCATTTCCGGAAATGCAGTTACGCGCAACTAACCAGGGGGTGTTTTGTCTCTTCGAGCAGGCGCCTTCTCGCCCTTCCCCCGCCTCCTAACCCCACCGTCCACTCTAACCCCAAATCAAACATGGCTGGTCGGATAAAGAATCGCGACCTTATAACGTTAGCTCGCACTCACAAGACGCCTGCACTGCAGGCTACTATTACCTCTTCTCCTTTACCATTTAATCGGCGATGAGAATCAACTCGCCGATCTATAAGGTTACTTCCCACCTTCGCGGGTGTCCTTCGGGAAAAAATTCGTACGCGCGCTTCTTTCACTAAAATCCTAGCAAACTATATATCAGAAGAAAGCTTAATTAATGCAGTTTACGATAAAAATTTAATTTAAGCGACTTTTCCGCAAAGAACTCGCGCCACGCCAGGAATTATCTCGCCTCATGAAACCGCTAACCAATAGGACAACGGAACCTCCTAGCGTCAATGACGATGGATCAAGATCTCCTGGGAAAAGTAACCCATTGCAGACACGCTTTATTTTAATCTCGATCGCTCGGTAAAGGGTTGAGGAGGACGACACAATAATGACCACCATGTATAGCAAATTTGGGTTTGACGGCGACTTCTTTGTTCGAAATCTGGACGCCAGCGTGGGCTCCGCCAGTACCAGTCACTTCCACAAAGGGATTTTTTTTTCTTTTCTTGACAGAATGGCACCCTTTCTTTCTTCTTAAGGCCTGTTTTTTTTTTTTCTTATATTTTCCCAAAGAGTTTCTTCCGCTTTTGATTTTTCCACGAGCAAAGATTTTTCCATGAACAAAGAGCTTCCACGTTTAAATTTTGTGAAGTGTGCGATATCAAAAAATATAGAAATAAGATGAAAATCGAGCCCCAACATGAGCGGTTGCCGCAGAAGTTCCCCCAAGGGACTCGCCCAGGTCCGACACCTTCCTGATTTATTAACTTTTACTTGAAAATACGTTTTTCTACATAACTCGGGTGCGTTTTAAGATTTCAGATATTTCTTTATGGAAACGTTAGGTTGAATGTTTGAATTCAGTTTAGTCAAATAAAAGAAAAATCGATTTTTCGGCTTCTGAGGGTGGGAAGTAACCTTAAACTGATGCTGAACACCTCAAGGAATGCTTAAATAGTATTTCTGAAGCGTCTCGGTCTAGATTTGTGAGACCGTTTCCCAAGCGTACCTTTGCACCAGGCCTTCCCAACCAAGACAAACATGCACTTCCGTTTCTGGAGACTGGTTCTACTCGCTAAATTATGTTGCAAACCCCTCTACAACAGTTGGGTTAAATGTGTTGTACCATGGAGATAGTCATGCCTTAAGTTTTCGACAGCAGATAACCGAATGGGAGCATGAGCGATTTATCCAACGATACTTTTTTTAACTGGACTGATCTCTTCTCTATTGTAAACCTTCTCTGATTTAGACGCTTAATTTACAGGGATTTATGCAGGCCCTTTTGAGTGCTCGCGCACTGACGTGTCTTAAGGTTTTGTTGTCTATTAGGTATATCAGAATTTCTACTTTGCACGAAATCTGATGTAGTTCAACGAGAACTCTCATCCACATACCGATGATTAATTTTTTCGAATTAAAGGTAGTAAGTCAATGTTTGCAGTCCGTGCAACAATAACGAGTTGGATATTGTTTTATTAGGCCTGGTTGTTCAAAGCCTGGTTGAGATCACTCAGGGTTAGTGTGATATCTAGCTTAAGATCTGAAAGCTCTAAAAGAAATTCAGTACAATTATTTTTGTCCACAATATGATGACTGGATGCCCTTCAAAGAAGAGAGAAAATTATTAGAGAAAGACTTTCAAACAAAAGGATAAAGAAACTTGAACAAAATTTTAACCCTGGGTTAGCGCTAAACAGCCTTCGAACAACTTTGAAAATTGGGGAATATCACTTGGAGTATATTCGGTCACATGAAGTGTTTCGACCAATCGCGCGTGCAAAGATATTTGATGGATTATACCAGTCAATATACCTCAGCACAATACCTTAGAACCTGATGGGGAAGATCCCAAGAAAAAAAACCTATTCTTAACGGAGATTGATTCAGTTCAACCCTAATGTGTAACCATTTACTTTGCGCTCTCCTCACTCACTAATAGTTGAAGCAAACAGAAACGTTTACATGGAGAAGGTAGAGTCGTTCTGTTCAACTCCTTGGTTATGCCAATAACGTTAATAATTCGTTTGTGGGTTGTTGGTGGTGAAAACTTCATTATATTACACGAGTATGAGCCAAGGTTGAGCTTGCACTTGTCATTCTCACTCGTGACACCAAACATGTTATACTCAGCATATCGAGTATTCCCTCCAAAGTCTTCCAAGTCTACACGCAGCATGTTGTTGTCATCTGGGGTCAGGGCGTGAATCTTCTCCAGTCCCAACCAAAATTCACCATTCACGTCGCCAAAGCCATATTTGTAGTCGTTCCAGCTGAGGTAGAAATCAACCGAACCCTCAAATCTCTTTTGAAACACCGTCCGTCCTCCACCGGCTTTTGTTTGGTCACAGAATACATCAAAGGAGGACAAACCATCTGGTCTAATGGCGTAAAAGCCGTCTCTTTTTCCTCCGGACTTGAAAATTTCGGCACAATTTCTGCAAACTGATACAACAAAAACATGTAAAGACAAGAGTATAAGAAACTAAGTTAGCATGCATAAGAAAATCACAATTTCTCAAGTAGATATTTTGAAATTATTTAATCGAAGCAACGAAAAGAAAATGTTTTATAGGTACCTAACCAACAACTCTCTCCAGTAAATCCTGTGCGACAGAGACAGCGAAAACCTTTACTGGTTTCAGCTTGACAGGTGCCATTCCTCAAACAAGGGCTGCTGCTGCTGCAGGGATTCTGTTGCGGTAGAAAACAAAGGAGATAGGGTGCAAATCAAAGATCGATAAAGACCTACCGACATAAAAAACGGTACGATGCAAGTCTTACCTCGATGGCCAGATATAAGACAGCTATCCTCAAGGAAGAAGCCGCTGAACTGACTTTCATCTGAAATGTTGTTTGATTCGCACATATGTTTCCCTCCCTCTAAAGGTCCTCTAAATTGATGGACACACAGTTAGGCTCCATATAACACATCACTCTGCAGCTCCCTTCATTAAGCATCTTAGTACGCTTGATAACGTAATTTTTGAGTGCCATGTTTGGAATTAGATTCTTTAAAATGATGTTCTAATTTTCATCATCTGTTAAAGGAAGAAAATCTTGATGATAAGTTAACACAGAGTTTTTCCTTAGGCAAGAAATAACACATTATAAATTTACCTCAATTTGAAATTTCTAGCATTGCAGAACATCTTGAGGAAACATATCAATTATTGACAGCTTAAACAATTCAAAAGTCACGCACAAGAATTAAAAGACAGCTTAAGATAATAAATACTCCAGAGTTTTATCAGGTTTCAAACTTTATCTACAATTGTCGTCGGTAAGAGTGCAAGCATTCGATAAAAAAAGTCACTTTTTCCTTATATATGTAATATGTCGTTTAAGTTATTGAGTAATTAAATTTCTTACCCCATTGAACAATCTACTTATTAATCAAGTTCAGAATCCTTTACTAAGGAACATCGCAGAGGACGGATAATATTGCAAAGTAACCTGTAAAACTGAATTTTAGATGCATCAGAATATTTTCTTTATTTTTATACCACTCTTATACCACTTTTTTGTTCTTACCACATTTTGAAGTCATCTGTGATCTATTACTGAACAGACGCACGGCAACTTGGAATCTATTTGTTAAATAGAGCAGAGAGCCGAGCTAAAGCTGTGAGGCCATCTACCAAAATGTTCTATGTCCGACCTTTTCCGGGACTTTTCTCTAATTTTTTTCCTTTAATTGAAAGCGAAATTTCGGAACAGGCGAGTCGGCAAATAGCAACAGAAGAACCAAACAAAGGCTCGTGAACATGCCAGGCGCCGTAATCGACGTTATTATAACGTGAGCAGAGACGAAAATCCTCAAAGAGAAAACGAAATGAACAGTCCGAGTTCTTAAGGTTTTCACACTCAGTTCAGATTGCAAGCTTACGTACGATAATAAAAATCAAACACAGCTAACACTCGTGTAGTATATATAGTTTCGTGTTGAAAAACAAAAGAGAACAAAACAGGAATGATGAAAAATATAGCCGAACTAGCATAACTGTTAAAATGCATACTAATCATGACAGTGTTAGAGCGACCGCGATCATGCTGTGGTCCAACGCGGCTAGCTCATCATGACGATCTCCAGTCATCGCAGTCAAGTAAGCCTCACAAATTACATAGGTCGCCCTTCGAGAGAAGAACTAGGAGCTTGCTCTGATATCGATGTGTTGAGTGGAAGGCCACATCAGTCACTGCAGTCAGTCGAGTTTTACGGCGCTTTCATCCCGAGAAACCTTCATGTTTCAGTAAATTCAGCTGTCGTTCATTCATAAAACATATGCTTGAACAGCTTTTTTTCTGATTGTCACTTGAAAAAACTTGCGTGTTGTTATAATTATAAGTCACAATTCGGCCGGATTTCACTGAACATATCACTTTCATATTCTGTATTAGAGACTAAAAAGCATCATGTTAAATTCGACCTGCCGAACTGTTAAGTTTGTAAACTACTGCAGAATGTGAACTTTGATGGTTTTTTAACTTTGATGGTTTGACATTTTTGACAACTTAAGTCTTGTACAGCTAATCAGATTATTTGAACCATTCCGACAGGGATTCTAATTGGCTTATTGTAGCGTGCTTTATGAGAGTATGGAGCATGCTAACGACACTGTCGCTTGCTTTGGAAATAAACTTTGTTTTGAAAATTGAAAGTAAAGCGATGACAATTTAACGGATTCTTTATTATAAAACAAATAGAGAAGCCTTGGCTGTGCTCTGTTCTGTTATAAAGCACTTAGGAAGCGGCTAGAGCACTCAAGAAATGGGGAGAAACACTCAACTATATCTTGTATTTCTTCCTACACTTATTTCGTGCTCGAACTGCTTCCTGCGTGCTTTATAACAGAACAGAGCACAGTCACGAAAGAAGTAGTCGAGTGTTTCTCCCCACTTCTTGAGTGCTTCAGCTGCTTCCTAGATGATTTACAACAGAACAGAGCACAATGAAGGCTCCTTTTTAATACGGGCTACGCATTTTCGTTTCCCTTTAATTCCCAGCCAGATGAAACATCAATATGGGTGCTTCACGCAACAGAGTGGGTTTCATAACATAAAGCAATCATCGGATAATCTTGCCGAAGCCGAAAGCTGACGCAGATAAAAAAAAATACTAGGTTTGGGAATTCGTGATATCATTTGAATACTGAATTTAATAAACTTTTTATCGTACATTTTTTCTATCTGAGTTTGCAAAACTTTGAGGATACCATAAGGATGAGGTACTTGGAAACTAAAAATCTTTGAAGTCCATTGAGAATACAAATGAAAACCTCGCGTGGTTTGATATGTGATCCGAAAAAAGTGTGGTTTTCATCTCTGTTTTCATTGGGTATCAAAACTCATGCACGTGATGAATTTGGCCATTTTTTTTATTCATTATCACACTATGAATTATTAATGAGTTTTAGAACTTGACACAGTAAATGCAATATCCGCTGCAGACATTGAATTTACCATGTCAACTTCAGACGCTGTTGTATAAAGACTGAATGCTGTCGACTAATCAGAGTTTTGATAGTCTAACATGTCTAATGTATGATAATACCAATTGCCCAACGCGCACTTTAATGGACAATAGTGGACAAAAATCCTTGTATGAGGGCCGAATGAGATGGAATGAGCGAGACCTTACAAAATCAGCGTGTTTCCGTGTTGTGTGTATTTCAAATGGAGCGGGAAGGAATTACAAAAAAATCAAAAACACTTGCAGGGGCGTAGCCACCTTCAACAACTTTTTGTAGACCTGCTCCCTAAGTAAGTTCAATTCTTGTTTCAACATTTGCAAGAGTTATATTACAAAAGTCGAGAGGGCAGTAAAAAATTGTAGGCCCAGGAAATATATATAAGCTGACTACACCCCTAACATGCACTGATACATAAGTGTAATATATTAGAATCCATACCCCTTGCATTTAGGGAATGTAAGTACATACTGTTGACATTAAAAAATGGCGAGCACGTGTTTAGTGTTGTGAGCTCCAAATATTGCAATATGAATCCTAACGTACAATGAGACCCAAGAGCCAACATTGAACCAAAAAGGAGCAGGCTCAGTCAAGAAAGGCCGAGATATACACCTATAACTAATGATGAAGTTAAAATCATTAATTTTGAGTTTGTTTTCAGGCCTAGTCTGTTTTAAAAGGTGTACAAAACGTGACAAAGCCCCATTAAGAGAATAAACAGAGACCACTTTCTATTGGAATACAGTACGTTTCATGTTTTTATTGTGCATTTCACCATTATAATAATAATGATAATTATTATTATACATCAGGAAATAAACAGGGAAGTGCTGACACCTGATACGTGTATCCGTTGGTTTTTCTTAGATTTTTATTAGACATTTTAATGTATTTTTCTATTTTTTCAAGGATTTCATCATAATTTTAGTCAATATTTTTAGTGATTATATCGAAAAAAGAATTATTAATTATAATAATAACAATAATGATAATAATAATTTGCATTAATTTATCACTCCCCCAATAGGGCCTTTCAGGGCCAAATACAAACAACAACAAACTTGTAGGACAAACAAATATTATAAACAGAAATTTTCTATCAAAATTGCAACTGGCTGGAGTAGACGAGTTGTCAATATACAAAGTGCAGTTAAGGAGTCGAACTCAAGGGAACCGAGAGAAAATCCAGTAAGTAGCAGAGTGGAGAACTTGAACTCTGGACTACCGGATTACAGGCTCAGGGCCCTAATCACCCTTCCACACTTCCTACCTATTAATTATCGCCTGGATAGTTTATTTAGACCCAACATATTGACCAGCTCCCAGTTGGCTTGTTAGCTCAGTTGGTAGAGCGGTGCACCGCAGAGGTCATGGGTTCAAATCCCGTGCGGGCCTGAATTTTTTTCAGGTCTTATTTCAACTACTAGTTCAGTAGTATTTATAGCTGCGAGGATCTCTTATATTCGTTTCTTCACCGCGGTGCACATATATGATTTTCATATATCCACAATCATTAAACGGAACTCGCTGAAAAAGGCAAATGTCAAAATAATAGAACAATTTCTCCACTCCGAATTTACGATAAGAAAGGGGAACCGGAAGTATATGAAGTAGCGTTAAGTAATGTATGAGTTAAAAAATACACTATTTTATGACAGAAAGAGACGCTTAACATATATTTTCCCATTCGCGGAGTGTGATAAGCAAATAAAACACGTTTCCCTTTAACTCCCAACACCACAAGAAAAGAGCAACTTCTAAGTTACATTTTTTAAATGGTAAACGTAGAAACGTTCCATTAAAAGCAATTTTGTCTTTTAACAAAATGGCTCCCATGATCAAGGAGACAAAGGAAATGGAAGCATCATCCCTTTGAACATAAAGATGCACAAATGTGTCCATTGTAATACATTAGAGAGTTTAAGTAAAAAAAATCCCTCACTGCTGATGATTGAATAATCTTTCCGATGGTACGATCTGTTTTAATTTCGAAAATAGCTCAATTAAAATCCTTATCCATCTCACGTACTTTAGGATTTTTAAATCGGATCTGAAATGACCTAGAGAAGAAATTATCCACTGTAGAAACCTACTCGAGTGCTACAAATCTTTAAAACTATTGATGCGCATGTGCGTGACAATCTTAAGCTTAACAAGCGAAACCGACAAACAAACAATCAAACGAGAAAAACTGAAATCTGCTCAGTAGACGTGGTATACCCTGAAGTTGTATAACCTGCAAATTCAGACTTGAAATTCAGAAATCCGTTGGCCTTATTTTCATCTCTGTTCTTTTCAGGGACACTAAATTTCCCCTCCAGTGATACCAGACCACTCCGTCTTCGGAAGAGTGCTGTTCTCGATAATAGAGGCCATTTAGGTTGGAGGCATAGCAACTGCGATACCACCAGGCTCCGTGATTCGTCTTGGCGCAATTTTCCGCGAATTCATCATTATCTTGATCGTGAGTGCTCCATGGCAGGTCACGATGATAAGCGAGAGAATCACCAGCAGTTCCTGAAAATGATTCATTTAGATTTCACCTACTATCTAAACAACACCATTCGAATTGAAAAATAATTCAGTAAAGTGTTAATTTCAAGGAAAACCTTAAAAAGATTAATTTTAGCAATAATGATATGTAATAAAAAAAACTCGATTTGAGTGCGAAGATGCATCTTCGAGAAACGCAAAGAGGTGTGAAATGCATAAAAAAGATTTTCAAAAATAATAATTATATCAATATTGATGATGGTATAAATTATTATGATAAAAATATCAGTGAAAATGACAATGAAATTGATAATAATAATGAAATCGATGACGACTACACTTCCAGTGGTCGCTCATCAACTTGTTTCTCAAAGTGTGCTTGAAAGTTTGAAGAAGAGGCTGGGCCGTGAAATGTGACTACTACTATAAAAAAATTGTATTGGCCCCACTGGGCATCATTGATCAGTGAATACCTTTAAATAATGCGTTGTCGAAATTGCACATCGGTATGGTTGAGACAATATGTTATTTCTGGTTTTTTTTTTGTTTTTTTTCGGAGACGTTCAGTACTCTTAATAATCAAAACTATAGCAAAATTCTCGAACGTAATGGGCTATCACCAGCCCGATTTGAGCAATAACAGGACAGTGTGCACGTCATGCTTGTAATTGGATAGGGTAATAGGACAGTTAAAGGGACAGCTAACGCGTCATGCCTGTGTAAGTGGACAGAAGGAGTCATGTGCGCGCACTGTTATCTCGCATCTCGCCTAGTTAACGTATACCAGATATCTAGTTTTTTTTTCTCAAATTTTGTCATAGTTTTGATTAATTGGTAATAGGACTGAGTGGATTCTAATTCAGTCTGTAATCATACTTGTGATTCACAAATCGGACTCCCGCTTCGCAGTTGTCTGATTTTGTCAATCATTCATATGATTACAGACCGACTTGGACGCCACTCGGTCCTATTACCATAATTAATCCCTAAACCAATCCCCCTCTTACAGAATGAATAAGGAAACTGCTGTTTTACCTGAGTAAGGACCAATGATCAGCTTGTACTTGTCTTCCTCACTCATAACAACAACGCTGTTATATTCAGCGAAAGCAGTGTTCCCACCAAAGTCTCCTAAGTCCACACGCAGCATGTTGTGACTGTATGAGGTCAGGAGGTGAATCTTGTCCAGTCCGAGCCAAAACTCCCCACTTAGGTCACCAAAGCCGTGCTTGTAGTCGTTCCAGTGACGGTAAAAATCAACCGAGCCGTCCAGTCTCTTCTGGAACACTGTCCATCCTCCACCAGCTGTTGTTTGGTCACAGAATACCTCAAAGATAGACATATTATCAGGTTTAATGGTGTACACACCATCAGTTGTTTGACCAGATTTGTAGATTTCAGCACAATTTCGTTTGACTGCGAAGGAAAAACAGTAATGATGAGTTCTTTAAGTATAACTTTGCTCTCCACTAGGAATTTTCTCCCCAAACTAACCAGGTTGTGAACCTAATGCTTCACTTTTGTGCCCCTTTTAATTGATTATGTTAATTGATTAATCAATTTTCATGGTAACACACTTTGAACACTTTTGGGAACTTTTGATTGTTAATCTCAGTTTCCTTCTCTCGCTTTCGCTTCGACTGATACAATCTAAATGCAAAGATTTCTGGTGATTCATATGGGGTGTCATTGTTTGGCCAAACAATTGAATAACTTTCACGACATTTACCGTTGGTGATAGAGCATTACCATTTTTACCTTTAAATTGGCAGTTTTCCCCGGTGAATCTAGGTCGACAGAGACAACGAAAACCTTTACTGGTGAATCCAGCCTGACAGGTGCCACTGTTTGCACATGGGTTGTTGCTGCATGGATTCTGCTAAGAAAAGAAACACAATACTTTTAAGTTTAAAGAAAGATCAGACTCCTCACTAATTCTGACGAAATACACATGGTACTATGCCAAGCAATACCTCGATTATGGCTGAATAGGTGAAACTTGGTTTGTTCTCAAGAAATTTGACAAATTGGTCTTCATCCGTGGCGTTGTTCAACTCGCATATGAGTTTTCCTCCTTCCAAATGACCCACATTGATGGACACACAATTAGGCTCCATATAACACATCACTCTGCAGCTCCCTTCATTAGTCACCTCAGTGCTCCTGATCACGTGATTTCTCATTGCCGTGTTTGTTACTGATTCCTTAAATACGATGCTGCGAAATTCGTCATCTGTAGATGGAACTGAAAGCCAAAAGTACCAAAATTCTGACGGAGCGATGTTATAGTTTTTATATTTTTAAAAATTTACCTATTTTATTTCAAATTCGTTCTTTTCAATCTCAGGGTTGTCAATGAGTTTAGGCACTGTCTAAGAAACTAACAAAATACTCAGGAGTAAGCTGCAATGTAACGGTCACATCGAGAAGTCGTTTCCCCTCCCCCCCCTCCCACCCATGAATTTATTGTGATAAAGATTTAAAATCCTTTTTTACCATTGTCATTCAGATTTGTTGTATCATAGGCAACCTTTTCGGGAGAGAGATAGTTATTGACTTTATAGAATGAACAACATGCGTTCTGCTATTTCCACCCATTTTTCGGGGAAAAAAGTATAAAATTCAAACATGCGTGAACTGAAAGTTTTGCTTTTATTATTATCTTAAAGGTTTCTGAAACAAAAAGAAAAAGGGAGACAGCAAAGCTTGTCCAACAAATTAGATCAATGATATGCGCGTTAATTTCTATCTTTCCAAACACTTTTCACCGAAGAGAAAACCGGGTAAATTTTTCATAGAAAGATTTTTCTTTCCAGGGCAAATTAAAATACGCAATGGCAAAATTTAGAAGAAATCGTATTTTAAAACGAAAGCAGAACTAAAAAGCAATTCCTTTTGATAAGTGCAAGGACGTTTCAGTGTAAATATCGTCAGGGATGATATTAAAAACGATTGAACGCGAATTGAACTGAAGGTGAACTGATTTTAAAAGCCGACTACCTTTAAGCAAACAACCGAGAGAATTGGACAAAAACAACTTGAGCACACACCTGAAAATAACAGTAAATCTAGAATTTAGTTGTGCACGGGAGTCCTACAAGTTTCTTTCCTTGCCCTAATAATTAATTATACAAAAGCAGAAACTATGTGAAGAACTAGAAAGCTTCTAAGGGCGTTTTTTCGTGAGTGTAAAGGAAACAAGGTAAATTCATGACGCTACATCGAGATATGTTAAAGTTGACCTGCCAAATATGTCGCCGCGTAATATGAAACATTGGAAAGCTTACTGAAGTAAGTGAACCAAGGAAAAATAATGGGATCACCGAAACAACTCTAAGTGCAAATGGAAGGCATTATTGACTTTTATCTTACAGAGCTCTTATTCACTGGTTTACATATTTAAAAAAAAAAAATGTCGGGTTGATGTTGAACATTACGCGCTTTAATTATCAGCGATGTGAAAAGCGGAAAAATAGAACTTACCAGCAGAACAACAGCGTGATATTAACGTGTTGGCAAGTAAAACATAAAGATAGAGAAGATTCTTAGACGATTTGTCAAACTTAAACTGTAAAATTGTAACACACATTTTTTAATCGATGTGTTGAAAGCATCAGAGTAGAAACTTGTCGCCCATTGAGGCTTCTAAAATAGAGCAGGTGTGTTCAACGCATTTTCATTATTCGTCTGCAATAAATGAGTACCTACCATATTGTCAACAAAGATAATTAATGCGTTGTCGTTGTGTAAAGTAGTAAATGTCGGATTGAGGTGGAAAATATTAATCAAAATAGTACATTTTTTTATCGATGTGTTGAAAGCATCAGAGTAGAAACTTGTCGCCCATTGAAGCTTCTAAAATAGAGCAGGTGTGTTCAACACATTTTCATTATTCGTCTGCAACAAATGAATACCTAAAATATTGTCAACAAAGATAATTAATGCGTTGTCATTGTGTAAAGTAGTAACTGTCGGATTGAGGTGGCAAATATTAATCAAAATAGTGCAACGAAACAACCGGAGGATGTAGGCTCTCAAGCTGGCAGATACAATGCACTTCTTCAATTTTGAAAATCTTTTTTCAGTGGCATGTAAGAAGCATTCCTCAAACGAAAATCGAATTGCAGCCATGAGGCAAATAATCAGTTATTAGTATTTATTCCAGCCCTGAAAAAAATTTGGATTGAACTAAGCAAATAATAAGTATTTAGTTTTTATTCCAGCCCTGAAAAAAATTTGGATTAAACTAAGCTTTCGGTTACAATTCTGCAGCCCGGATAAGGCAAAAAACTTATGAATAAGAACCCTTCGCCATTTTTGTTTTGGAACCCCAAGAAAAGTTTTCTGTCCCCACTGAAAAACATACAATTTATTTATTGCCAAAAGACTTAATAAATCGCGGTGGCAGAAACGCGGTCTTCTTTCATGGACGAGAGCATAACAAGGCAGCAATTGTCCCGAAAAAGAAGCTGTGCAGGAAAAAACGATTCAGTGTTTTCAGAAATATCCGTTTTCTTTTCCAGATAAGAAAAGGAAAAAACAAAGCTGTGATCTCAAATCTCTCCATCTTAGCTTAGTTGGATTCAAAGTGAGGAAACGAGTGTACGACATTTTTTCCCCTGACTGGTCACCCTCTCCAGAAATTTTGCGAAAACCTTAAAATTTGATGGCGGAGGTAACTTAAGAGGGGCCTTGCTAACAAAAATACGGAAGATTTGAAGCAAAGCACAAGTAAAGCGCTCTTTCTTTAACAAATGTCGTTGAAAATTATCAGTCTTAAATTATATTAATATGAAAACAACTTTATTATCATGTTAATATGAAAACAACTGTATTATCATGTAACTTAAAGCTTGAAAGGCAAAATGTTCGGAATAAAAGGTGCAAAAGATTGACCAGTCAATCTGCGAAAGAAGAAGAATTTAAACTCTGAAGTTTTAAGTTTTAACTTGAAAGAGTTCCATATTGCTTGAAACTACCGTGGTTTCCTTTGACATTGCTTACCCGCCCCCAAAGACAGTAGAATGTTCTAGCTAAATTAGCATAATTTTCTTGGCAGGAATAATGTTCCCTAATGCTCTCATTATTGGGTGGTAAATAATTTATGTGCCCTGCAGTCTTCTACTCTTTCCTGTCAAAAATAATTGCGTATTATTTTAGCTTTTCTTTTTACGTTTTAATTTTGCGTTTATGTTTGTTGTCTCTAACATTTATATCTGAGTTTTGAAGGATTCAAATTGTGGCCGAAAGCTTACGTTATTTTAAACAGAGATCGCCTTATTCGTGTAGATTTGAAGAACTTAGGGACGCCAGGACTAAGCCGAACTCAAACAAGTTGCTCTGAAATTTTCAGCTGAACAACAAACAATCAATGAAGATGATTTTGGATTCGTGAAAATCGCAGATTTTCTTGATGCGGAGGAAACCTGACTACACCTGTTCACAAAACTTTTTCTTTTAAGCGCGCCGCAAGAAACACAAGGAGACATGAATCCAAACATCTTTCACCAGAACAAACAGCTGTATTTCGATTTTCATTCTTCATTCAAGTACCTTTGGCAAAAGAAAGGGATTATCTAATAATTACTGAAACATCGTGAAGACAGGAATGAAAGGCAGTGGTGAACCATAATATTGTTAACGGTCTGAACAGGATTAACCCCATCTCAAAGCCATTATATGAAAGATCCCATGTTCTGCTTACATGTTACTGGCTACGTTTTGCCTTTTTTTCTCTCCATGATAAAAAATTTCATGTTCGGATTTATGAACCACGCAGCCTCATTGACAGGTTATCAAGGAAAAAATTATCAAAACAAAAGCAGGAATACTTCGTTTAGTGGCTATTAATAAAAAGCTTTCACTGAGAACTATAAACAAATTCATAAAATTATAAAACACACTCTTCAGTTTACTGTACTCATTTTTTTCGTTATCTCGTCTTACTTTTATCTCACTTAAGTCTTATTTTATCCCATTCAAGTTTATCCTATTTATATTGTACATTTTTTTAAATGATTTGTAGGATTTTTAACATCTATCTAACAAGAAGATTTTGAGTTCGAGATGTCAAACGCTTGATAGACGAAAGCGGTTTGGGTCGAGTCGCGACCCGACCCAAGTCTCTCTCGTTTTTTATCGTTTTTTCCAATTGCTATCGCGCTTCGTTTTACGAAGTGAATGCCTAGAACAGGTTAAACTAAATTAACGAGACAGGTTCTTATTTCAATCTCACTCTGTTTACAACTACACACCGTTAGAGTACTCGCTTCACTCAATGTCTATCACGAAATAGACAACGAGTAGCATAACCAATCAGATGGTAAAATGCTTGCAAGTTTCTACGAATAGAAAGTTTGAAGCTGTTCTGATTGATTTTAAAGTGTTTCTATTCAGTCCCTTCGCTAATATCATTTTAGTGTGGAAACTTCAGGAGTGGTATCCACTCCTCTACTCCTTCCTAACTTCCCTCCTACTTTCGTTTATTCATTCCAATACCTTAACAAAATGTGAACTGATTAATGATTTACATTGCTGACACTTTGAACGAAAAATACAAGCAGTACATGCACTTAACGAGGAGCTGTGATTAAGCACCCGACCCCTGAAGACCAAATTTGATTTAAATTACATCGGCGTGGGATAAGACAGGAAAACAAAAACGCGTTGCCGACTCAGTGATCATAAACAGATGTCTCGTCAAATGACATGACGAATAACTTGGCATTTCTGCATTCCCACTGAAATATCATTAAAAGACTATCCTGTAGAATCCTATATTGAAATTTGAGGTTTTGGTTCAATGTGTCGCTTTTTTTCCAAAAAGTAAATAAAAAAACGGAGAAAGTTTCGTTAAACTTAACTACACCAATCCATTGATTACATTACAAAATCAGTGTCAAATTACAACTTGTTAAATATCCCTCGCGTGGGTGATTTAGCTATTTGTTGTATACATATCTAAATTTGAATTTAAGGCTCACATCTTTTAATTTTATCACCAATCAATTCGATAGTAACTATATGGTAAACCTAGCCATTGTCATGGGATGAATATTTCATTAAGGAAGTCAACCGCATAAGCCATACGAATGACAGGATGTTGTTACCATCGGCAATAAAAATGAGTTTTGCCAAGTCGTAATCGAAATATAATCGAAACGAAATGTTTTCACAGCTGTAGACCAGGCGTATTTTTTTCTAATTTCTTGCTAAATCTATAGACAGCTAGGTCGATTTTTTTTAATCAGAAACTTCTCCTCCTCAAGTAAAAGCAAGCGTTTAAATGTATTTAATCTTGGAATCCTTTCGTGTCGTGGAAAGTTTTTAGATTTTCAATTTTTCTTCAATTCCTTATATTTTGACCGTGTCAGATATTTCTTGAAAATCATACAAGAACCATACGAGACTTGCGGAATGAAAGTTTGCCTCAAACAACATTTCAAACAAGTTTTCTTAAAATAAGTTGCCATATGGATAGTATCCAGACCAAGGAGGTTTGGGGATGGGAAAAGAAATACGTATTCTTCAAAGCTGACTGACATTCTCTTAATATGAGCAAAACCCAAACAAAGTTTCGATTAGACTGTATTCTCAGCGCTGAGCCTTACATGTTCAAGTGTTTGAGAAGTTATAAATTTTTTTTGTGGTGCGTTCTTGAGTGATTCAAATTAGCCACAGGTGACAAATTTGTAAACAGTACCGCATGCCAAGTATTGACTGACGCTCACTGTAGTTTTGGCTGGTTTTCCAATTCACCCCGTGGAGTGAATGGTTTTGTCGTGCAGACCCTGTAATTCTTCCAGGTTCGTGGATAACGACACAAAAATTAATGAAAATTGAAAACAAAGACACGAATGTCCCTTCAAGTAAGGTAAGCTGCCCCTGGCTTGATATGCTTAAATTCATTGTTTAAGAGAAAAGCTTAGTACCTTTCTAAAAAATATTATTTGCGCATCGCACCTTTTATAAAGGCAGATCAGCTGCAAGGCGGCAATTGAAAAATTAACACGCAACATTCAGTAGTAACATCGCCAACAACGATGTAGGATGTAATTTTGTAATACTCAACCAGTAGTTGCGTAGTTAAAATTAACACGGGATCAGAAGCGTTGGGTTTTTGTTTTCTGCGTACTGTAAGTTAACTGCTACTGATAAATTACGTTGGTATCAGCAGGACTGGTTTTAACAGGTCAGGCGATAAAACACGCTAGAATGCGCTGTATTTCTTTCTCACTATTCCGTTGCAGTACACTGTCAAAACACTGGTATATGCCAAAAGATTGGCAATGCCAAATGAAAATAACTTTAATTTTAAATCCAAATGAGAATGGTCGGGTAAAAAATTTTAAATGTTTCTCTCTTTTACACGACTTTTCTCTCACAATGAATACGCTTACAGAGAAGCATTTAGATGACACAAACACACTGAATTCCGGCGAACATGATTTTGAATTTGTTTTCTTCACCAAAACAATAGTTTGACACTTACGAAAAAGAATATAACTTTAAGCTTAATTTCTGAGGGATTTCGCTGGAAAGCAAGTACTTTTCAAAAACGAATGTACGTGTTGAGACACATACCATTAG